GGGAGGGAGGAAGGAGGGAGGGGGGAGGGAGGGAGGAAGGGAGGAAGGAGGGAGGGAGGAAGGAAGGAAAGAAATAAGGAAATTTAGAATCTAGGGGAGGAGGTGTAGATGATTGTACATTTTATTAGTTTCTAGAGTATATTTGATACCCAGGTTAGGCAGCTGTTCTAGTTTGCTTTTTTGTTGTTGTGATGAAGCATTCTGACTAAAAGCAACCTGGAGAGGGAAGGGTTTACTTCAGCTCACACTTCCAGGTCACAGTCTATCACTGAGGGAACTCAGGGCAGGAACTCAAAGCAGGAACCTGAACCAGAAGCCATGGAGGAACACTGCTTTACTGGCTCGGTCTCTGGCGCGCTCCCAGGCTAATGTTTAGCTAGCTTTCTAATATAGCCCAGAATCACCTGCCTAGGGATGGAACTGCCCACAGTGGGCCCAAGACAGTTCCTCTCAGACACAGTCACAGGCTGATCTGACCTGGGCAATATCTCAATTGAAATTCCCTGAAGTGACTCCGGGCTGTGTCAAGTTGACAGCTGAGTCTAAGCCTTGTCCATTTAGCTAAGAGCTTAGGTAAGGGCTTCAGTCAGCTTACAAAAAGAGATATCTCATTATTAGCTATTTGAGAATATGAATTCAGCCTTATTATAATAGAAATGTATATTGAGACAATATTGAGATAGGAACACCCAAGTAACAGGTTCAGAAGAATCTGATCAGGGAAATTTGAATTCTGAAGAGAAGTTATCTCTCCTAGTCTATTCTGATGCTGAGGTAAGATGGGAATCAAGAAACGATCAGCTGTTAATTATGTAAACTGGCACCCACATTATCTCATCCTCTCTGTGAGGTAGCTATTATCATCAACAAATGTCCAAAAGAAGAGTTTAACTTAAGATTCTAGATCTGGTAAGTGGAAATCCAGGAAGCGAATCCAGACTGCACTGAGTGGTTTCTCCATGCATTGACATAAATGCTGTTTTCACTACTAAGAAACCCTTATCAGACAGGGTTTCCCATTCTACAAATATATAGAGATTGAGGTTCAAAGAGTTTAAAATTTGCTGTAGTACAGTAAGTGCAAATTAGGGATTGAAACTCTTATTTGGTTGCTTTCAAAGTCCTTGAATTTCCACAGCACCTCCCAAAAAGATGTAGCCATGATAAGTGATGTGTTCAGATGACTGAATAACCAGCCATAATCATAAAATCACACTACTAGCTCTCCACACTGTAACCTATGTGCTTGGTAAATATTGTTAAAATAAGGCCTGACCAATACAGAATCAGGAAAGTTAGTATAAATTGCTCAGGAAGGTGAGGGTGATCTCAAAACCTGACCGAGCACTGCTGACCGTATCAGTTCTCATTCTAGTTTCAGGAGAATGAAGGACTCCACTTTTGGTCTGTTTCTGTTCTCTGTCCTGTTTGCCATCCCGGAAGTGAGAAGCAGGGAGACTGAAGCTTTGTGGCCCAGAGTATGTGAGAACAGTCATCTGTATCTGTGCCAGCTCCAGGTGGAGACGACACCTGGAGGGCGCGCTGCAAGGTAATTGAACTCACCTGTCTCCCTTTTTCCCAGACTCCCCGCCCCCAAGAACTGCTGAGTCACTTACATATCAATGAAGAGGGTTGATTATCAAAATAAACTGAATTTGGCTAGGGAACAAGGTGAGCACGCTACATTTCAAAAAGTAAGGGTCTCATTCTTTAGTCTCCTTATTGAAGTCATGTCATGGAATGATGGCTTGAATAAGGTAGCGTCTATGGCAGGAGCTGTGAAGGCTATAGAGAAGCAAGATGTCTGGCTCAGCGCTTCAGACCACTAGCTGCTCTTGCAGAGGACCTGGGTTTGATTCCCAGCACCCAAATGACAGTAAACAACCATCCTTAACTCCAGGGGATTTGACGCCCTTTTCTGACCTCCGCGGGCATTGCACGGCATGGGTAGTGCACCTACCTACGTGCAGGCAATACACTCATACACATAAAAGAAAAATAAATAAAATATGAGAAAAAGAAGCAAGATATCCACACAGGGATGATTATGCAGTGTGATAAGAGAATTCAGGTTAAGTGTCAGACAAGGGTAAAAGGAAGGAATCTGACTCTAATCCAGGACTTACTAAGTACCAGGCAGTTTCTTGTGCAACATTTTATTCATCTTTCTTAGATAAAGATCTTGTGAAATAAGTGATGCTATCATCTTCACCATTTATCAAGGAGAAAACTATTTACCCAGCTGGTCAGCAGTGTGGCTAGGAAGCAAGCTAGGTCTATCTGCTTCAACAACTGAAGTTGTTACTAGTTGTATACTAGATTCCAAGTGGAGAGGAGTCAATAAATGACATAGCCTCTGTCAGTTTGAGAAGTCACTAGGAGGAGGTGGGACTCAGCATGGGACTCAGCGTGGATCTGTGCAGTAGAAAATGTCTGGTCAGAACTCCAAAGGTGACTGTCAACCTGATACAGTTCAGAGTGACTGACCTCACTGAATTTCTTTTTATTTTTTAATTCAAGTAACTTAGAAATTGACTAGATTTCTTTCTGCTGGTCCTATAATAAAGTGTGAGGTAAAATTTAAGATTTGTTTTTCATTATTTTATTTTTAAATTGACAAAATATGCAAATTTATTATGTATGACATGGTATTTTAAATATCATGTACATTAAGGAATGGCCGAGCCAGGCTAATTAACATACACATTGTCCACATTTTCTTGTGATGAGGACACTTAAAATGTATTCTCTTATTAACTACCAGGAATGCATATATTGCTAATGACACAGCAACCATGTTGTACAACAGATCTCTTGAACTTATTCCTCCTGGCTATCTGAACCTGTGTACTCGTTGACATCCCCCCACCCCCTCATTCCTGAAACCTAACTCAGCTCCAGCCAGAAATCATCTTCCTCCTGTTTCCAGGACTCCAGCTTTCTCAGCCCCACAAATGTGAAGTCATGAAGCATTTCTCTTCCTGTGCCAAGGTTCACAGTTCTGCTTCAATCGCTTTGTTTTCTAATAAAAAGTTTAGGAGATGGATGACATCGCAAGTGTTGCAACCACATATATGATGGTAAAGGTTTCAACTCAGTTTAAAATGACTTTGGTAAACAAAATATTTTAGAAAATGACCAACAGGGGCTGGAAAGATGGCTTAGCAGTTAAGAGCCCTGACTGCTCTTGCAGAGGACCTGGGTTTGATTCCCAGAACCCACATTGTGGTTCTGATTCCCAGAACCCATCAGTTCCAGGGGATCTGATGCCCTCTTCTGACCTTTGCAGGCATTTCGTGACGCAGGTGCACTTACATACATGTAGGCATCCACTCATACACATAAAATAAAAATAATATTTTTTAAATGACCAACAATAGTTATTTTTCAGTGGAGTAGTGTCCTGAGATTTCATAAACTTATCATTACCACTTTGGAGGTTCATATAACTAGATCTTACCAGAAATATAAAGGTTTTGGATTATAAGAAAGTAAAGATTGACGTTGATTTTTTGGAATAGCATATCACAATGTACTAGGAAAAATTACATTTGGCATGTCTCTGAAATGTATGGAGCAGCAGAATGAATGTCTTATGAATCTCTGTCTTTATAGATTTTATTTATTAATATTATCGTATGAGTGGGGGGCATGGGATAACTTGTGGATTCAGTTCTGTTCTTCCACCTTTATGTGGGTTCTGCAATCAAACTCAGGTCCAGGCTTGTATTGTCAGGGTACAAGTGCCCTTGCCCACTGAGCCATATTACTGGCCCTCTCTCTCTTTTTGACACTACTGAAATCATAACACTCTTTGTTATACTCCCCCAGGTTTCTAGAGAGTTTTCCTATACTTTATTTATCTGATCAGTTAGTAGTTTACCAACCGACATTTATTCATTTAGTTTTTCTTGATGCTTGCCAATGTGCCTAGGCGGTAAGTGAGTCTGAACAAAATTAAAAGTGAGAAAGGCTTAAATGCAGACACCAGAAACTGTAAGGAAAAAATACAGAAGAAATCAAAGATTGAAGAGAGAGAGAGAGAATTTAATAGTACTTAAGTTTAATTACTTCATTGCTTATAACTTCCTGGCTAAGAGCCACTCAAATCTGGTACAAGGCTAGACTGAGACATAAGGGTGCCCAGAGATAGATAATGGGATGTGGGCTGCCGCCCCAGGGCGTGACCCATGATAAGTCACGTAGGCATGTGAGAGAAAACAGAAAGTGGTCAGAAATGCTTGTGTAAATAAGAGATTAGAGAAATCAGGAAACTGACACGTACCACCCAGAGGGTGACACACATGAATTAGCTTAAATCTATAGGTTAGGTATTTTAAAGCTATTGGTTGTGTGAAAATGTGCGGGCTCTGATACGGTACAATGGGTGAAAATCCTATATAAACTTTGCCTGAAGTTGCTTCAGGGTTGATTGCTCTAACCAGGCCTGCGTGTCTTGGGAGGACGGTCGACCCCAGCTAGCTGGCTTAATAAAGACTTTGCTTGAATTACATCTCTGTGCTCATACATATTGTTTTCCTGGGAAGCCCACGGAGTCTTGGACCCTAACAAAACAACATTTAGATTAAAGTAATGTGGTCTATGTTTCATTTTCAGATATGGAATTTCCATCTCCACTTCCTTTCCTACTGATCAGCTTTGCAAAGGGCATCCAGTGTTTTTGTTGTTGCTTTGTTTACCTCATGTAACTAATACCTTTGGAAACCACTGGTCAAGGAGCAGGGTGGCTAATAGCAGTTGAACTAGCCAAGTGATAATGGTTTCCAAGTTTCCTCCTATGTCAAATGGAGAGTGTGCATGACTGAGCTCTTGCCTAAGTGCCAAACTCTCTGAAGCCAGACCAACATTTTAAAACTCACATGCAAGATTCAGTTTCATTTCAGAAATTCAATTCATTTCTCCAATGGCAGAGCAAAGCTGTTGCCTTCTTTGTCAGAGCTCTTTAAGACAGTGTGGTAACTTTTTCTCTTTCATATAGGTGAGAAAAGAAACTACTTCCAACTCCTAAGCAGACATGAGACTTCTCAGGAAAGTATTGAGCAGAACCTTCCCAAGGTGGATTCCTCAGGAGAGGAACGAGCACAAGATCAGCAGGTGCCCATGGAAAGGCTTTGGGAACCAGTGAAGCATTCGATGACGTCCAGATGAGATTTGCAAGCTCTGTGCTGTACTGCTGGATGCGCCATTACTGATCTTGGTGCCTTCTGTTAGGGAAGAGCCAATCTCCAATGCAGAGCTTCAGCATATGTCTAGTCAGTGTTCTATCGTGGAGGTCCACACTCAGAGTTTATCACTAAAATGATGGCTTTTGGCTTTTGCGGGTCTTTTTCTAAAAGGTCTGTATGTGGCAGGTTAAAGTCACCGTGAAGTCTCCTTCTCCCTTTGCCAAAGTGAATCTACTCTTCTTTTTGAATTCCAACTAATGCTTTGAGATTTCAAGCGCTGTGCCAAGTGCAATAAAAATGCCAGAACCCAAGTTGTCTGTGATTTTTTTCTTTTAAAAAAAATTGCTAAGAGTCAGTGTTTGAGGATGCTCCAACAAAACCATGTACCACTAAAAATTATGGCCATGTCTACTTGAAACCCTGTTCTTGAGCATGAAAAAGAAGTATTAACTTGTATGTGTTTATATCCATATATCTGACCATATGTATGCCTGGTGGGATTTGAGGTTTTTTCTCCACTAAATCGATGGTCACATAGGTATTAGGAACTAATTTATTTGTCATCCTGGACCTTCAATTATCTGCTGAGGTAGTAGTTGGCCTGAACTCACACAGTGGCATCAGGTCAGCCCACGCTCCAACAAATCGTGCTTGTCGTTTTATCTGTTCTTCCATTTATTTCCCCTACCTGTAATTTTCATTGATTTCCATTCATTACGAATCATTTTGTTGCAACTTTGTGTGTTTATACCACTTATCATTCATTCAAATGCTTCCCTCTTAAGAGACTGAATGCCATCACTACTGTTTTTCAAATCATTCTGAACTTGTAATATAATACACCTGAAGCTTCAGGTAACCAATTTAAAAAGTTTCCAAGAGAGAATATTGTTAATAACTCTCAAGAATTCAGCATGACTTCTACTTGGTAGACTTGAGCAAATGCCTATTCACCCCAGATAGGATACCAATGACAGCAAAGTTAGTATTCTATGCCAAGTCCAGCTTGGGGAACTGCCGGGGATTCGAACCAGCGACCCCCGGTGCAGTGATGATTGGGGATGAGTAAGTACGCCATTCGCCAGCCCAAGCTGCCCCCAATACCCGGGGACACTCAGACGCAATGGGGAGTCTAGTCAGGCAGGGACTCATTTATTGCAGGTGTTACAAAGCTTATAAAGGCACCTGGAACTCCCCCCTCCCAGGGTGTATCTTAAGGATGGTCACTCACTGATCATGTACTCCTCAGCAGTGGAAGTATTCTTCAGACTTTCAAAGCAAGCCAGGCCACGTCCCCAGTTACTTCCTTTTGGACCTATGCAAGGTGGGGCCTTTAGGTCCCCACAGAGATCCAGGAGTTTATGGGGCTTACTTACAGAAGCATAGCTAAGTGGTTACTTGGAGGAACTCGTGTGATTCAAAATCAGCTGCATTATCAAACAGTCTTACCCTATCAAGGAAGTGCCATCGTGGACCGCCACCTTCAGTTAATATGTACACTAGTACATTCTCCTTCATTCTTCTACTAAGAGGGTTAGTAGCCAATCACCATAACCACAACTGAGCTGTCACTGTATTGTTCTGCTTATTTCATTGTGCTGACTACTAGGCCAACATTATTTTTGCTCCAGGCTGGTTATAGATGGTCATGTTATATCCTGGAAGGAAAAGCTATGCTACAACAGTTGACAGTGTGCTGATGATTGGCAGACTAGGGTTGGGAGAGAAGCATCAAAATTAACATATGAAAGAAATCAATGACAAAGAGAAAGACTGAGACCCACTCCCCACAATAAGGACTACCTAGAAAGGACAATGCGGAGAGAAATGCCCTCAGTATACTAATGTGGAGAAGGCGGGTGTTGTATAAATGACTATAAAAGATCATGACTCTCCTGGCCCCAGTGCCTTTGAGCTTCTGACCTTTCCCTGACCCACTTCTGGCCTCAGAAGTGCTCTACTAATAAACTTTTCATTTCTACCACTAGCCATGTGTTTTTGGTCCAATTTTTTTTTGTTCTGTGACACGAGAACCTGGAAATTTCAGTGGGTTCCTTCTGGACTGTGACCAATGCCTATAATAGTTGACAAACAGTCAGGAGGCAAGATTTATGTCCCTAGTTCCTTAAAAATCTTAAAAGAAGCCCTAAATGCCTCTCTTCCTTAAAAAGCACACCCATCTTTCCAATCTTCTTTCCTTCCTTCCCTCCTTCCTTTCCCTTCCCTTCCTCCTCCCTTCCCTCCCCTTCCCTCCTGTAATGAGTGTTTTAGAGTTAGGATATAATTAATATAATTTATACTTGAAATTATAAACTGGTAATATTAAGACTCAAGTAAAATGTTTACTTGAAAATGGATTGGTGTGAATGTGTGAAACACAGATAAGACTCTGGAGCTAGCCAGATGTTCTACTGACAAGCGACCAAGTTAATGATGCAAGGACTGATAACCAGATGTCTGCTGAATCATGGACTCAGACCTTAAAAGCCGGATCCTTGAGAATCTCAGGGGCGCACTCTACTCAGAGCATCCCGATGCTGTGTGCGGCCCCTTCTTCTCGCTGAATCATGCTCCTCTTGCTGACCGCCTCCAGAGGAATCGAGACGTCACAAACCACGTCGAACCTCGCAGCCTATCGAGGCCATGCCATCGGCATTCCAGTGACAGAACTTGAGGGTCTAACTCTCTAGGACCGGTACCTTATTGTACATTTGACTTGTGTTGTTTGTCGTATATAAATAAATGCATGTGAAAGACAGACACGACTAGCGAGCGTGATTCCTCCCTCAGGGGAATGACCCTGAGGTGACACTGGCGACACCTCCCCTCCCCTCCTGTCCCCTCCTCTTCCCTTCCCTCCCTTCCCTTCCCCTTCCCTCCCCTCCCCTCCTTCCTTTCCCTTCCCTTCCTCCTCCCTTCCCTTCCCTCCCTTCCCCTTCCCTCCCTTCCCCTCCCCTCCCCTTCCTTTCCCTTCCTTTCCCACCTTCCTTGTTTCTTTCTCCTCCCCCTTTCATTCTATCCCTTGGAAATTGTGGGCAAGTCGCTATGAGGGCAATGACCACAGTCCAAGGCACAGCAGATCCAACCAGTCCCTTTCCTCCTTTTTCCTCTCCATGGCTTATAGCTTCCTTCTGTGGAAGACTGAGGATGTGCATGGATTCTTACCCTTACCCTACTGGGATAATGCTGGGGCCATGCTGGGGCAATGAAATTTTCTACCAATGGCTGTCAGGCAAGGGCTGCAGTTAGAGAGGGAGGCAGCTGCCAGGAAGGGTGTGCATTTAGATGGGGAGGCCTGTGTAGGTCCACAGCTACTGGGCCAACCCACACCTAGTCTGGGAGATGCATACAGAGCCATGACCCCCTTCAACATCCTGATATCTATCTTCTGATCACAGAAAGGAACCCTGAAAGTCAACATGATTTTGACCACATGGCATCCAAAGATGGTGGCGTCTATGTAGAAGCAGACATGGTGGTGCTGACAGACATAGTGGTACTGATGTGGAAGCACCAGTCTACAGCATATCCAGTAATTGGGTACCCCAGCACTACCCCCCGTGGACTTTCTCATGCTATAAGCAATTTGCTCTCCTCTCTTTCTCTCTCTCTCTCTCTCTCTCTCTCTCTCTCTCCCCCCTTCCCCCTCCCTCTCTCCCTCTCTCCCTCTCTCCCTCTCTCCTTCTGTCTTTCGTCTACCTTCCCAGAGGCCTGCCAGAATGGTGAGTTGCAACTTGGGCACAGCAGGCTCCAATGTGGTAGGCATGGTTACCAGTGCCCTCCTCACACTCAAAATGATCCCCCTTCCTTGGGACCCAGGCTGGTGCCTATTGAGACCCACAGGCAACTAGCATTGGGGAATGTGGGTGTCACACCCACATTTGTTATCTGCAGGGCCCTGATACCTACTGGTTTCATATGATGATCTGAGGCTCAGGTCTGTACTTTAGAACCAACCCTTGGAAGGGATGGGAATTTAAAGTCTGGAGCCCCATCTTGGAGGGCACAGAGGTTATTGTGGTTTGAAAGAGAAATGTTCCCCAAAGGTTTGTGTATTTGAACACTTGGTCCCCTAGTTGGTGGTGCTGTTTGGCTGTCTGAAGAGGGTATGGACTCTCTCTCTCTCTCTCTCTCTCTCTCTCTCTCTCTCTCTCTCCTCCTTCCTGTAATGTAGATGAAAATGTGATCAGTCATCTTCCTGATACTGCCGTCATGCTTTCCCTGAATGTTGTCATGCCTTTTCATGATGAAGACACTTTTCCTCTGGAGCAGTGAGCTAAAATAAACCCTTTTCTCCTCTATTGTTATTGGTGATGGTATTTTATTACAGCAATAGAAAAGAAACTAATACAGAGGTCAAAGAGTAACTAATATAACTGCAATGCAGCTTGGTGGGATAGGATCCTGAGCCCAGTGCTCTCCAGGAGATAGATGCCTGAACCCCACACTGAGGACTTAAAAGTCAGGTCAGGTTCTAATCAGTTGTTGGATAGGTGTGTCCTCTGAAAGAACTAGCAACAGCTGGATGTCTGTACCCTAAGAGGCTCTGTTGAAAGGAAGGGAGACAGTCACCCTTGTCACCCAATTGGTCAGCTTCAATTGCGTGAAGGGGAGGGTCTAAGGACAGATGCAGGAGAAGCCAGGGAGGCAGCAGGAGCTTTCCATTCTTGGGTGGGTACTCTAGTAGCTGCAGATCTAGGAAGCTCAGCCAAGATGTAAGGAAAAAAGCATGGGTGTGCATGCCTTTGAAAGTAACCCCCTCCCGGTCATCACAAACTCTGTAAGAAAACTCAAATTTCCTTATTCCCTAAATTGTCAGTTGGTCGTAAGAACAGCGTGGGGCCTGGGAGCTGAGAGTGCACACAGCTCAGGCTCTCAGAAGTAAATTTGACTTTAAAATTGGTGTAGTCGGCAGGATATGTGAGCTATGACAAACTGGAGGAGTTTGACAATGTCTCTGATATGGAAAAAGACTGAAGCCCAGTTGGGGGAGGGGAGAGTATGGGTAATAGTCACACAGATTCTGCAATGGATAATGAAATATGT